TTCCAACAGGAATCTGTATGTTTCTAGGTTACCAGAGAATACCCATTTCTATTCTGCAAAATAACTGATTTGAGTTTAGTTTTATGTCTGCTTTTTGTTAGTGCTTATTAATGTTTTGCTTCATTTTTCTGCTCTATTTTCAGTTATTTTTTCAGAATTCTTACTATTAAATTTAAAAAGTTATATCACACTTCATTAAGCCAAGCAAATGGAGTTTGTATGGCTTCAGATTTTTTTTTTTTTTGTTATTAATACTTGCACTGTAGTGACTACCTGTTTTTTCACTCTGTTTTGGTTAGGTTTTAGCATTTTATTTTATGCTCCCTTTCATGTAAACGGAATTGGTTATATGGTCTTGTTAACAGGTACTTTAGAGTGAATATGGCTAAATACTTAAAAATTGAATTGAAAATATGTAGAAAACTTACCTTGTTTTCAGGAAGCTATGACAGGCTTTTCATATGATGGGCCACGAATCTAGCTTCTTAATAAACATTTTTGAAATGTATTTCCCTAGATTTTCAACCTTTTAAGCAGAGCTTTGTAGCCACATGGTAGTTTAAGCTTTGGCTTTTCAATGTTATTTCTTGTTGTGATGTAGATTGATGTGTTGTGTTTGCAAAATATAAGGGGTGATTTTTGTTTGTTTAGATAGCTGTTAAGATTTGTTTGAAAAATTTCATATCACATATTTGAAATGTTTTGCTTGACCTTGAAGATTGATTTGCAAGTTTAAATGACCGTTGCAGTGTGGTAAAGCTGGTTGTTGGCACCAGAAGTAGTGTTAAGCACAGCCTTTCCTCTGAAAATGCCAAGCAAATTACAACTTGCACTGAAGGCTTGGTTAGCAAAACAAACTTTCTTGGCTTTTAGCTAAAATAAGTGCCTTGGAACTATTGGGTTGTTTATTTCTTTCCTTTGCGGTTTGTCTACATGATATATGTTCTTTTTATTGGTATTACCTTTATCTCAAAATATTTGTTCCCTATAACTTGTTTTGCTGCTTTGCTGCTATATGTGTCTTGCATAAACCCTGGATTTTAGATGTTACAAAGAGGCAATGAAACAAAGTATAGATCAGGCTGAAGAAAGCCCTGTCCAGTTTGCTGCTTCTGTGTTTCTCTTGGTATGTTTAGCATAGCTTATTCTGCCCCTTAATTTCCTTTTGTCATCTGACTGGGGTGAGGAAGGGGAGATTTTAGTACTTAGCCTTGAGCTTCTTGCTCATTTCTAGACAGACTCTTTCTTGTTATGAGGACTGCAATGGAGCTTTTATATTAAAAAAAATATTATACAAAGATTGGATTAACTAACCCTTGAATAATTAGCCTTCAGATTCCTGATCTGTTGCCTATTTCTGTTCTGGCTAAGAAGTGACTGCAGTCGAGGGTTTATAATCTTAGCCAGGTGACCCATCTAGCAATGCTGTATTAATGCCATGCTATAGTAGTGATGTCCTGGGCTTCACGAATTTATTAGCAGTATGCTTTTTACAACCTGTTTTTATTCCATTCAAATTTTAATTTGTTTTGAATGAGTAAGAGAAATAGCTGCTTCCATTCAAATCAGAATTGCAGATAACTTTGAAAGAAATGCTTGTCAACTGATGTTTTCAAGTCTCTTGTCTAAAAGCTCAGTTTTAAATGTGAACTTTAAGTGTTCACTCGGTAAAGTGTTTATCTAAGATATTTTTACTTTGAATGAAATCATGTCATTGGATTTGATATACTGAGGTTTGGAACTGAACCCTTTGGGTAGGTATCAATATCTTTTTTGCACTTTGAGCTAGATCCTGGAAATTAACTCTGCTTATGTTTTTCTCACTGAGTTTTTAGGGACTTCTCTGCAGACAAGGTCAGTGGGTATCACTGTCTGGAGCATTGCATATTCCTTCAACCATACAAAATATCTCCAGGACAAAGTCATGTTGGTTTTACTGTATTCACGCTCCTATTCTTCATAGTGTCTATACCTGGAAACCTGCAGCTTCTGTCCTCTGTCATGCTGGGCTGCTTTCACCCCAGAGTAAATATTCTTTGGACTACCCACTTGTGAGTGATGCCTTTCCTGCATTGGTTTGTGGCCAGGCATCTCTTGGGAGTTGCTTGGCCCCACAGAACCAATACAGAGGAGTTTCTGGCTTCTCTGTTAGACTGGCTTTCTCTGTCGCTGCCTCCAGCTATCTGCTTAAAGCAGCCACCAGGCAAAGGTTTTGCTGCCTCTACACACAGGCTACAGCTGTTAACTCACAGCCAGCCTTTCTGATGTTGCTTCTTCTGTCTGCAGCCTCGTGCCGCTACTTGGGCTGGATTGAAGGAGAATCACGGGCAAAATGCTTCTCTTTTTCACTTTCATCACTTGTATCTTAAACCTCTAAAAGCCCTTTCAGTTATTATCTTAACATCCAGGACCTGCTACTGGATCCTGAACAAGCAGTATGTTCTTAGGAATTACTTCTCTCCCTTCCTATCTGCCTCCTCCAAGTGCTAGATACTTACTTCCTTTTTTTATATTGAAGTTTCTACTGCTTTTGTTTGCTCTTTTAAGAGAGTCTGTCTTGTTCAAGGAAACTTGTTTAAGGGATGTCCTACTGAGAAATCTGCTTGTGTCATGATGTGATGCTTTTATTTTTACTTTTTTTTTGTAGTCAGAGATCATGTTCATTATGATGTACCCCAAGTTAGAGTTAGACCATTGGTCTCCCTGGTTAACTTTCCTTCTCTGATAACAAGGGACAATTAAAACAATCTGAGAACAATTAAAAACAATTGATCTCTTTGGAAAAGAGAGGAAGAGATACCAAAGAAATATTGTTATATGTAGTAATAAAAAAAATCATTCATCGTAATAATTCTGTCAAAAAAATGATATTGAGCCTTTGGAAAGCCATTTATAAAATGAACAAATCCATAATTTAAAAACATGATTCAAATCAAAGCATACTGCATGTCAAATGATGCAATATCCTTTCCAAGGAGGATTGATAGTTATCCTTATACCCTGTTGCATTGTGTTATTTGAGTTACCAGTCAGAGCTGAGAGATTTAAATAATTTTTTAAAAAGGGCAGGGAAGGTAACATAATTTGTTTCATGTGTTATGTGTTGAGCTTGACTTTTGGGGAGTGGGTAGCGATGGAGGCACTGGTAGCATGAAAATGAAATATTGCATCCTTGTGTAAGTTCTTTAGGTGCCAATCATATTTTTATACTAAAAAATACAAAAGAACCATTTAGCTGCTGCTTCTGCTGGGCATCACAGGTTCGAAGCCCTGAACTGCAACCTAATTTCTCTATAATGTGCATGATATCTAGCTGTTGAAGTATGTCAGGGTTCCTTATTGGTGAGTGGGAAGAAAATAAAGACATGGAGAGAAAATAAGAGAACATATACAGTGTACTTGATTTGTATTGATAAAATGTTATATATTGTTTGTATTTTCAGGTGACATTGCAAATGGATACTTGAGGCTCACAGTTGTAAGCTTAAAGGATAATAAGAAGCACTTGCCTCTTACTGGGACACTTGGCTTATCCTGGGAAACAGATGTGTTTAAAGGCAATGTAAAGGTCAGAAATATTTTTTGTTTCTGAAAAACCTTATCTCAAAACAGAATTAAGGTTGTGCATCCTAAATATGCTAATTTTTAAAATGCTTTTGTTTGTCAAAGGTCTTTAACTAGAAAAAGACCTCCATTCAGATATTGAAAAAAAGGTGTGAATTTTGAAAAAAAAAGTTTTATCCTTTCTCTCTTGGAGTCTAGATTGCATGATAAGAACCATTGTGCATATATGATGACTTCGGTGGTTTCCACTCAGCAGGGTGCTGTGACTGACCAGCTCTGCTTGGAAATGCTGGACAAAAAAACCTATAATGCAGATGTATTTTTTGTGGGTTGGTTTGTTTGGTTTGGTCTGGTGATTTTTTTTGTTCATTTGTTTGTTTGGAGTTTTTTTGCAAACAATAAGCCTTGAACCCCTGGGGAAATACTATGCAGTTCTGTGCTACTACATATATGCAGTGGAAGTTAGGAAATGCTGGAGAATGTTAAAATGCCAGTGGACACAGGCAGAGTCCACATTCACACAGTCAGCATCTAGCTTGAGTCATGTGCATTGGTCAGTTGGTGTAATTCTATATATTTTAGAGGAATGCTCACTCGTTCTATTGGATGAAATTCCTAAGAGCGTTATTTCAAAGAAAGTTTGAGAGCAGTTCTCTAGATTTTACAGTTGTGGTGAAGGCACATATTTTTAAATGTACTTCAGCTGCATGAATATTTCAGAAGTTACAAAAATTCTGATAAATGTAATGTAAACACTAATGAAAAATTATCTAGTTCAACACTTGGTTTTGATTTCGGCACTTGTTTTGAATAAAACCTAAAAAAATTAATAAAGCTGTTGTTTCTGCTGATCCTGCATAAATGTGCAATGGAATATTGTTTGATAGCATAGTTGAGGGAGACTTGTTTACCCAGGCCTGTAGTGACAGAACAAGGGACAGTGTTTTTAAACTGAAAGAGCATAGATTTACATTGGACATCAGAAAGTTTTGGTTTTGTTTTTTTTTTTTTTTTTTTTTTTACACTGGGTGAGGCACGGGATCAGGTTACCCAGAGAAGCTGTGGATGCCCCATCCCTGTAAGAGTTCAAGGCCAGGCGGGATGGGTCTGGGAGCTACGTGGTATAGCGGAAGGTGTCCCTGCCCATAGCATTAGAGGTGGAACCAGGTAATCATTAAAGGCGTCTTCCAACCCAAACCATTGAATGGGATTAACAGCTGCTTGGCAGTAGTTTTTTTTTTTTTTATGAGTAGCACAAAAGAATTTGGGAAGTTAACTGTCAGAGGAAACAGAGAGCTATGGCTGTAGTTTTTAGTTTTTTAATTATACTCTCTGTCCTGTGTGCTTGCAGCATAAGTTATATTGAATATTTATTTCTAGGAAAAAATAAAGAATACCATAATTTTTTTAAACCTCTCATTTTGTGGTGAGAGATGGAACAGGTCAACAGAAGGCTGTGGGTAGAATTCAGTGTAGATTTTAACATAAATGTCTAAAATTCTTAATACATGTGGAGGCCAAATAGCAGCCACAGAAGGAGGGTGTGCCACTACTTTGAATTTATTTGAATTTTGCTCAATGCTCTAAAGAAAAAAAACAAAAAAAAACAAATCAAAAGCTTTTTTTTTTCACATCTGGGTATTTTTTATAAAAAATTAATTGCTGAAGTACAGATAGTTAGAAATTGTTATGATTTAGGAGTGGTATTCTCAAATTTAGTCTTCCCACTGCAAACACTCCAAACCACACCCCAATCATCCCTCCCTGTTCTCCTCCCTCTGCCTGCAGTGGCTGGAGGGGAGAACTGGAGTCAAAAAAGCTAAACATCACGATTGGGATAAGAACAATTTACTAGAAACAGCAGTGAGATAAGAAAACGAACACTAACAGCAGCAGTACTGATAACAATAGTATACAAGAGAGAGGCAAATGATTCCTGTGGAAGTGCTCACCCTGGAACCTGACCCAACTGTGCCAAGCTGCCCTGACCTGGAAGTGTGCCCTTCCTCCTCCATGGAAGTGGTGTGAGGTGATATAGAACAACCTCCGGGTCCTAGCCATTCCCCCTCCTGGCTACTACAGAGATTAACCCTGTCCTGGCTGGAACCAGGACAGAAATACATGGGAAGAACCTAGACATCCCAACACTCCAAACCATCCTGCTTTACTTTTCAGAATTGGCCTTTTATATACGCAAGTTGTCGGACCAGAAAATAGTAATTCTTTCTTGTTTCAACTGATCTTATAGCTCATGTAAGTTTATTACATCATCGTTAGGTTTGATTTGAATTCTATATTTTCAGCATAGTCTGTAGTAAAATGCTTAGGAAAATTGTATGTATCATATTACCTTGTATTTATGCCATCTGCTCTCTATTGTTTGATTGAAGTAAAGTAATTGCGAAAGCAGTGTTAAAGCAACAGAAACACAACTATGTAGTACAGAGAAATAAAGCATTCCAAATTATTTTTTTCTTGGCACGGAATACGTGATGTTGAATTTTTTTATACTTTTGGAACATTACTCCTGGAAGTAATGCATATATACTACATAATTAAGATAATTTGATTCATTTAGTGATTTAGAGCTCATGAGAATAAGTAACAGCTGATACTAACAATGACACACAATTCCTGTGCTTTTAAGGGACACGTGAAACTGTCAGTTTGCAAGTGCTGAAGAAGTGGCTTCCTGACATTAGCATTTTAAAATTATGTAATTGTGTAATGTTGTAAAGAAACATTTTCAAGACTTTCTAAAAGGAGGAATTATATGGAGGGTGGAAAGATATATTAGTATTACCTTCTTGGAAACCAAAGCTTGGAGCCATTCAAAAAGTGCAGTAAAGCTTCCTTTTACAGCTGACATGTTAAGGGTAAAAGTGTCTGTACACTTACTTGGGGTGGTCTCTGAGTATCTCTGCAAACATTGTTGCATTCACACAAGTTCCAAACTTGATTTTAAACTTAAGTTGCTTTCTCATAGTGCAAGGACTGTCATTTGTTTACATGGTAAGGTTACTAATAATTGAGAAACACAGATGTTAAAGGCTTAAAACTGTTCTAGAAATAATGTCTGATTTGGGTTGACAGTGCTACCTTCTGTAGCACAGCTTTTGATGTCTGTATGTTGTAATCTTGATTTCTGTAGGAAACCTCTAATAAGTATTTGTTACTTTGCAGGAATCAGTGGAGCACTGTCAATTATATTTTGAATTTTTAGCTTTCATACAAAAAATTGCTCTCTGAACCCTTGATACTTCTCCTGAAATCAGGGACAGATCTACTTACTGTGCCATGGCATAGAGAAATAATCTCTTCTGTTTGTGTTTGTAGGACTGCTACATGATGAATCTTACTCTCTTGGATGAAATTGGAGAGCCCTTCTGGTGTTTCAGTGCCCCAGTCCACGTGGAACTGTCCTCCAGGACATCTGGCCTTTATGATTACATGGGTCATATCTATACCACAAACTATGCAGATTCAGAGGGTAAAGTTTGCATTAAGTTGATATGGCTGGAAGAAACCAAGGAGTATATTATAGTCAATTTAGTGCTTTATGTAAGCACCAAAAAAGTAAATAACTGGTATGGAACAAATTACTGACTTGACTGGCCCACTAATTTCCTTGCTTTAAAAACCAAAATAAACCAAAAAACACACTAAACCTTTGATACCAATGAGAAAGACTGTTCCTGCAAGGTTTTCAGTAAAAAGTGCAATTGCATAATTTGTTTAATTGGTATTGGAGACATCGAAGAGACATATTAATATAAATGATAGTTTTTCTTTTCTGTTGAACATCACATGGTTAATCTGTTTCTGATACTAGGTATGTTGAAATTACTTTTATGAATATTTATAAACACTTGTTGCTATGGTTAGAGAATTTTTTTGAGAGCCATCCTTTGAAGATGCCTTATGTGATGTAAGCTGCAGTTTTTGAGAACATTGACTTTTATGCACAGTAATAAAACAGCATGTGTGCTGTTGCCTTCAGGTTCGTTGGAGTGTTATTGCTAAATGACAGGTTTTGTTAAATGCAGAAATATTTCCTTCTTTTTTTTTTTTTTCCCCCAGAAAATATTTAAATGTATTCTAGTAAAGGATTGAAAAGGTAGACAGGAAGTCACAGATCTGAACAATATGGCAGTCAAGACATTTGTCAAGAAAATCCCTTGTAATATCCATTATGACATTTCTTTAAATTCCTGTTTGCTCTGTTTCCTGTGTTCTAACCTTCTCTCTGACTTGAGCCTAAATACTTGCCTCATGTATTGACCTATGACTGGATCCCAATTATCAGCTCACTTGAGCTGATACCTGCTCTTACTGAATGCATGTAACATTCAGTTCTTTGAAACAATGCATATCTGATACTGTTTGTCTAACAAAGCATATTCATATAAAAATTGAATGTGTCTGCCTGATCTTTCTATTTCCTTGAATTAACTTTAGGACCAAATTTTTTACTCATTGTATTAAAAAAAAAAAAAATTACATGATATTGGAACTCCAGTGTCATTACCTATTGTGTTACAAAACACAGCAAATTGAGTTTCACAGAATTCTGTTAAGAAAAAAGGACAATTATATTGTTGACTGCTGTGATATTTTTATGGTAGTGATTTCCTTAATAATAAAGTCTCTCTTTTCTGTGTTTGTTTAGATACATTAATTGGTTTGTACAAGCAATGTTCATATCTAAGTACTTGTGTTCTGTGCTGCAGAGACAGCAGGAGGTATATGCCACAGCCATAAAGGTGTTTTGTATTGCAGCTTTCCAAGATAATAAAGCTGATGCTGGTACAACTGCAGTTCACATTGTATAATCTTGCCTGAAGAAGAAGTGGAAATGTTTCTGTGTTTGGTCATTAGCCAATCTAACAAGCATAATCAGCTGCATTTTGTGTCCATTCTTACTGACTGCTGATGGTGACTGTGATCCCTTGAAGTGATATAAATGTTTTGACAAATGGACTGGACATGATGATACAAGGCATA